ATGGTGCATTCCAATTGTTGTTGCGTAACCTGAGTGCTCTTGCTAGGTCCCTCTGTAGATATCTCACATGAAGCAGTGCTTCTCCAATCGCCGGTATCATGGCAGTTATCTTCGCAATAAGGCTCGCTATCCATCGACATGATTTCTGTTCCTTGCTGTTCAGCAGTTGTCGAATCCTGGTATTTAATTTTTGGATTTTTACCTGTGGAACTTGTATGGTCATGCCTTGAGAATTGAACAGGAAGCCAAGGAACGACTGTGCTCGTTGAGGTACCAAGGTGCTTTTCTCTCTGTTGATCAAGAAACCCAATTGTTGTAAACAATTGTTCAGATTGATCATTGGACATATTATTACCACGATGCGCGGCGCGAAAAAGATCTAAAGAAATAGGAACCGAAAAAAAAACTTTATCATATATTATCTGAAATAAAGCGTGGCACGAAAGAGCCTTTACCACCTCATCGGAACCTGGAACGGAGGCAACAATGATTGGGATAAGTATGACTTCCAATCGAAGTATCACCAACACAAAACACCAACTTTCTGTCGAATTTTTTCACTATTCAAGAACTAAATAAACGACGACCGATATTGGACTGTCAACAAATCAACAACTTCATCCAGTGCCATCATTTCAAAATTGAAGGGATACCAGCACTGAGAGATTTAGTAGAACCAAACGATTACATTGCCAAAATAGACTTGAAGGACGCTTACGTAGTAGTTCCACTACATCAACAATCCCGCAAATATCTATCGTTTCAACATCATGGGACGGTTTATCAATACAAAACACTAGCGTTTGGGACGTCAGTAAGCCCAAGAGTTTTCTCAAAAATGATGCGTTTTGCGACCGAACCTCTCAGGAAACAAGGTATTCGATTAGTTTATTATTTAGACGATATATGTTTATTAACAAAATCAAAAGAAGAGATGAACAAGACCAGTTCGCAGGTGATTTCTCATCTGAAGAATCTAGGATTCATTATCAACAGAGAAAAGAGCAACTTAAATCCATTACAGCAACAGGAATTTCTGGATTTCCAGCTCAATACCAAGAAGATGTCGATATCTGTACCGACAAAGAAGATCACCAAATTGATCTCGAGAATCAAACAAGCCTTACAACCCGAGATCAGATCATGCAGATGGTATACCAGCTTTCTGGGCAAAATGACTTCAATGATTCCTGCAGTAGGAGAGGCCATATTACATATCAGACACCTACAGAGAGATTTAGCAACCAGCCTACGCAATCATTCTCATCAGTAGAATTCAAAATTTTACAGATCGGAGGAGAGCAAACAGGAACTATTATGGTGGACAGAACACACCACACAAAAGAACGGACTGCCAATCACGAAGGTGAGTTCACAACCGCAACTAATCATACATGTAGATGCATCGGATATTGCATGGGGAGTCACATCAAAGGAACTTCAAACCACGGGTTATTGGACGACAGAAGAGAAAAACCAATCTATCAATGTACGAGAGCTAAAAGCAATATTATTCGCAATACAACTTCACGCAGTAAAATTCAAAAAGTCTCATCTAAAAATATATACCGACAACATAACCGCACTAAAATTCGTAACCAAATCAGGTGGTACCTCGTCACCGATTCTTCAAGACCTGGCAGTTCAAATACAAGAGCTTTGCAATACATACAACCTGACAGTAGACTATCAGCATATACCAAGGAAAGCGAACATAGATGCAGATCACCTGAGCAGACAGACAGAGAAACCACTCTACGAAATGACCATTTCGAAAAAGATATTCCGAAAAATTCAACAACTTTGGGGACCGATGACAATCGACGCCTTCGCCTCGAGGACAAACCACCAATTACCAATCTTTTGGAGTTTCCGTCCGGATTCGGAAGCGGCAGCGGTGGACGCTTTTCAACAACAGTGGACGAAAAAAGGGATGTATCTATTTCCGCCGTGGGAATTAATTTCTCGAGTGATTCACAAGATAAAGGAACAGAAACTCACACAAGCGACACTGATAACACCTCAGTGGGAGACCCAGTATTGGTTCCCCATGCTACTGAGGATGAAGCAACTGTCACCACCAATAGAGTTCAAGATCAACAGGTGGAAAATGATAGGATGGAATTTATCAACCAAAAAAGGAAGCGTGATGGTCTAAACCAAGATGATATTGAGTTTTTAGCACACAAGCATCGAAGTGCAACAATAAAAACTTACAACTCAGGCTGGAGAAAGTGGAAACAATGGTATGATACACAAACACCGAATATTGATCCGCTTGCGTATAGCGAAGACAGCGTTTTTCGTTACTTAATGGATAACCGCCACTTATCAGCACGAAGTTTAAATGGACTAAGATCCAACATAGCATCCGTGTGGAAATTACAACATCTAAATAAACAACCGATAGCTGAACAATCTTTAATAGTAGAATTTTTTGCAGCTAAACGAAAAACAGAAATATTCATACCAAAACCAGAACAACTTACGACTTGGGATACAGATCAAATCTGCACTTACATCAAGAAAACATGGCCAGTCAGTAATGAACTTTTTTTACACAATTTACAATTAAAAACCTTAGTACTCTTGTGTTTGGCAACCACGGGACGCCCTCGTTCAGATCTGGGACGTCTACAACGTCAACATATCCAACTAACTTATAAAGAACAAAAAGTGGAAGCCACAACGTTACATTTTACTGAAGCAAAGGAAACACAAGTCAAGACGAGTCAGTTCGGGCTTGTTGAAAATAGTGAAATGTGTCCGACTACTACTTTACAACTATTTCTACAAAAAACCAAGGACATTCGTGAACAACTTCCAGAGGATCACACACTCTTCTTAACATATTTAGATCAAGACAAACCATCCACATCAATCAGACCAGCAACAGTAGCCAGTTGGTTATCAACGATAATGAAGAAATCAGGTATCAATATCAACATATACAAACCCCATAGTTTCAGAGCAGCATCTAGTACTAAAGCAGTGGAAAAAGGTCATGGAATAAAAGAAGTTAAGCAACATGCAAATTGGAACCAGAACGCAAACACGTTCGAAAAATATTACTATAAGCCATTGACTCAACAAACAGACAGCACACAAATTATAAATTCAATTTTTTCTCAATCGGAAAACCATATCACATTGAATGACGGAGCGGAGCCAACAAGGATTGTTGTAGGCACGACCAACAATACAGAAGTTGGCGAAGCGAAGTCAAAAAATGTGATACATCCGCCCAATTGGTATCAAACATGGTTTCAAAGGTTTTTTAACTAATTATTAAATTTCTTATAAATATGTATTACCCCACCCCATAAAAACAAAATTGAATTATTTAGCTTAGCATTTGAAGGTATAAAGAAGAAAGGGGATCATTTAGTTATTATTACTATATATTATTTTATTAAAAAAGGAAAATAAAGCGCGGCTCTTGGAGCCTGTACCACATTTTCTGACTTCGCTTCGCCAGCTTCTGTATTTTATGTTGTCAGTTTGATCAACAAAGGTCACTCAGCTCAGGTGTAATTTCGCATTTGATATCAGAGAGCGACTGGGCAGTCTTAAGTTAGACAGAGACTTTGGTAGCGTGAAGTTGTATTGGCTTTCTTTTAATACGCCCTTTTGATGATACTAACAAATACTGCTTTGCACCAAATATTACAACATTATTTCCAAGAATACAAGGGAGTTCCTGATACGATGAGTCCTGTTCAATCATATTCTTGGGCAACGATGATATACATTTTTTTTCATTTACAAATTAAAAACAAGTATTGGTAATTTTGTCCCCAGTCGGCACGAAACCTCCACATATCAAATTAATGACAAAAGAAGCATCGCTTCCATCCCGAAGGATGTAAGGAAGACGTTTCCCTCTTGAATGCGTAGAGATCAAAAGATCCCTGGCAACGAAACGCCGAGGCCATAAATGACAAGGCGTTCCATCGTGGCTGCATTCTTAAAGATTCTTTTTGATAAAGAAAAAAAAAGGAAAAGAAAGCAAACACTTGATTTTATACCTTTTTTTGAATCAAAAAAAATTTTTCCATCTTGATGACTTGTAATTTTGCTTAACACTCGGAACGGCGCTTCAAATTCATGCTTGGTTGCTGTAACATAGTCATAACAAGAGATATTGGTATTTAACAATACAAGGCCATCTCTCTTGTACATTCTTTATTATGACAATCTTTGTCAATGAATTATATTGCAGTAATAGGATATATTGAGCCATAAAAAGGTTTATAACAACCCCGAGTCTGTTAGCTTTCACTTCATATTACAGAGAACAACAATATCACTATTGGGGAAGCAGCTTTTTAGAAACATGGCTAATTCCTATTCTTTGAAAGCTCCCAGCTTATCCTTTTTGTCATTTTTGCAGGTATCACCAACATAAAAGAAATACTACAGGGATTATGATCGAGATGCTTATAAAAACGTCATTTGCTATTTTATAATACGCTGTCAAATGCTGCCAAGTGCTCAGCCTCGTATCGAAGGTACTCCGTGTTTAGTAGAACAAACAATGCGCTTTTTTTTTCTCTCTCTTATGCAATCAGACTATTTATTTGTATAGAAAAAAAAAAAAAAAAGATCAAGATCGTTGACGGATAACCAACTCCAAGAACTAAAATTAAGTATGAGTATTGTTCCCCTTTACTTCATTCTCTCCCTCTGTCTATCTTACCTGTTCATAGTTAATTTGAATCCAACCGTCATTGTCTGTGTCAAACTGCCTGAACGAATCCGTCAATGTCTTTACTGTAACACATGCTTGAACAAAGTTATCAAACGTAATGTTTCCTTTGCCTGTTGAATGTCCTAAGGAGGTCAGTACATACCAAGTCTATAACCAAAATGATAACATCTCTCACTTACCGTATTTATCAAATTTCTGCACTAGAACACTTATGAATCGATCTGATAAGTTGTAGCCGAATGTTTTTAATGCCATGCTCATTTCAGCTTGATCAATATTGCCCGAGTTGTCTCGATCAAAGGTTTGAAAGCACTTCTTCCAGTCTTCGATATATCTCCATAATCCAGCAAATTCATTAAAGTCTATCGTGCCACTATTATCTTTATTGCCATTTAGCCGTTGAACTAGTCTATATAGAGCTGCTATGCGTTTACCTTTATCAAACATGTTAACCATTGTACGAACAGTCTCAATATTAAAAGGACTCCAATCTCCATTCACCAAAGCGCGTTGAAGTTCATCTACCGATAGTTGACCCGAGTGATCTGTGTCCACAGCTGTAAACCAACTCCATAATTGTGGGTCAGCACCAGGTGGACAGCCAGGTGGTCCAGGTGGACGGCCTAGAGATGAGTTTAGTCATCTGTTCATAAAGTAGATACATGATCATATATTTACCATAGCTTTGTTGAGGTGGGTATCCACCCTGACTCATAGGAGGTCTACCATAGGCTCCATAGCCTTGTTGTTGCTGTTGAGGCGTACCAGGTGGAGGGTAATTTTGATATCCACCTTGCTGATATTGATAGCCTCCTTGATTACCGTATCCGTATTGATTATTATATGCCATTTTTCTTAATAAAAAAAAAGAAATAAAAAAGAAAAGCCAAGAAAAGAGGAAAAAGAGAATAGAAATTTCATGGAGCTACTGAGCGGACTTCATAATTTAGTATTCTTTAGCTCATGCGCCTCATCTGTGCGAAATACAAGTTTTGCTAAGTAACTTGCATCATTTGCTTAGTTGCCCAGTCAACAGAACAGGTATCAACCTATCACTGTATTGATATATATTTATAAAGTACACAGGTTGAGCAAATTGACAACAATTAAAAAAAAAGAAAGAGAGAGCAGTAATATAGGTCAAAAAAAAGTTCATGCGTCCATCTTTGGTGATACATTTACAAAGTGTTAAAGGAGAAGGGTTTATAATGCATTTAATACGCTAAATGACTCAAGTGATACCTAGAAATTTCCTTTCATATCAGGGCGACCACTTATGACCAACGTCAAAAACTATCAAATGTGTTAACAATAGTTACTAAATCAAAAGAGTATACTTACATCTTCATAGTTGATAGTGATTGAACCTCTATTTTCATAATCTCTTGATCTGAATAGGTTTGTTAGTGTTGATAATGTTACACATGCTTGTACAAAATTATCAAAAGTGATCTCGCCATTGCCTATTAGTGTTTGATAAATAATAGTAGGGCCAGTAGAGGGTTGGTTTTACCATATTTGTCAAAGGATTGAACAAGCATATTCACAAAGTGGTCACTCACATTAAACCCAAATGTTCTCAGAGCATAACCCATCTCATAACGATCAATGCTCCCAGAATTATCTCGGTCAAAGGTTTTAAAGCACTGACTCCAATCTTCAACGTACTTCCATAATCCTTTGAATTCTCGAAAATCGATCGTGCCATTATTATCTGTATCGAATATGTTTACCATCATACGCACCGTCTCGATATTGAACGGACTCCAGTCTCCATTCACCAAGGCTTGTTGTAGCTCATGAACAGAGATGGATCCTGAACGGTCCGTATCGACTCGTTGAAATAAGTTCCAAAGATATTGCTCTCTTCTATCATTTGCCGCTAAGCAGGAATAAGTTTTCTCATAATTCTTTTTTGGTTTATTCAACTTACATAGCGTATGACTACGCTGTAGTGGTGTATGTTGTTGAGGTGGATAAGATGAATAATAGGGTGTCTGTGGTGGAGGGGCAAAGCCTTGGGGGTTGTGTTGGCTGTTTCTAAAAAATCCAGACATTAAAAAGGAATCTCTTTGCAATAAAAACTCCACAGAAGGATTTTTGTTCATAAATAGGGGAGAGAAACTAAAATGATACACTATTGGCTAGCGGTCATTTACCCTGACCCAGGTTCAGCATTAACAAGGATTTTTGTAGATGAATCACGTGAACCATCATTCACAACTTTAACATGCGGTGCACACCACACCTACACGACGCTATGTACAACAGTAAAGCATAAGTATAAGAGAAGAGTCTGTAATAGCCTCTCATGGTCTAAAATCCTCTTTCTCTCATATCCGTATATTGAACTTTCTTTGTTTGTTGCTGCTTCACAGACCAAGTATATAGTTTGAGACTCTATATTGTGTGATAAGATAAACGATTTTTTATGGTCAGATATACATCATTTTTTAAATATTGCACTTTGAGATGTATTAGTGACGCGACTATTGCACTCGGCCTCTGACTTGCTTGTTTTTCAAAGACAAAAACAGTACGAACCTAACAACAATAATAGACTTTTGCAATAATGGTACAAGGCATTCTCAACTTTTTGCCAATTCACTTGCATCTTGAGAATTATTTGCTCCAGTGGATGTAACAACTTTTAATCAAGTTCTATCAGAATTTCGTTGTAATCTCACGATTAAATCAAAGTTGCAATTTGTGAAAAAAAAAAAAAAAGTTCACTGGCAGCGTGTTCTTTCTCTTGAAAGAGGCGATACCTGGTAAATATTTTTACCGATAAGCCGCATTCTTCACAATAGTAAAATATGCTTGTCACAATTAAAAATTTTTCTCCACTTGTAATCGCATATAAATTAAGCTTGCTCCCTTTTTCTTTCTTCTCTTTTCTCTTTTGCAGCAACAGGGAAGATCCGCACTTGACGTTACTGATACATACGAGAATGCTTGTCATTCAATCCCATTATGAAAACGTTAGGGAAGGTCTCCAGACTGGTAGGATCCTTTTTTTATAAGAAGGATCTGTATCTGTAATGGATACGTACATGGCGTTGCCCTTGGCAATGCTGCATTTTAACTACCCTTGCATTTACCAAGTTGTGAGTAGTAAGGGAGAAGTGAAATGCGTATTTACTGGTCATAGCAAAAAGTTATTGCGGATACTACCTCGTAATGTAGTTAACAGAATGGAGACTACTCTCCCAAGTTGCTACCCTTTTTTTATATATAAATTGTAAATGAAAAAAAAAAAAAAAAAAAAAATGAAAAGATTTTATTGTTGTGTTAATCAATATCAATGTCCATTGACTCATCTGCATTCTTGATGGTCAACTTTGGGTTTTCACCTAATAAGCCAGTCAGTCTATCTCTCAAGATTGCAAATGGTGTCCAAGATAAATTTTCCGGCTTGACTTGAATGTAATTCTTTTGATTTACGTAATTTAGATGACTTTCAATGAGCTGAGGGTTGATGGATATTGAATATGATTTTGTATTTGTATCAAAGGTTAGCATTTGGTTGTTTTCTAATGTGGAGATGATATCGTCTGGTGTGAGACCAGAATGACGTGATAGGTCTATTCATGGGTTGGTACTTGTTTCCGTAGTTTATAAACACATATACCTTCTATACTAATTGGATCTCGTTGATCTTTTAGATGCTTAAATACGACCGTCTTCCAATAGCTTCGATAACTTAATAAACCCAAGTCAGATAGAGGTCGTTCAGGTGTACCAATCTTGTTTTCCTTTTTTGATAATAAATAGCCTTTTGTTATACATTATGGTTACTAAGGATACAATATGCACAAGTTAACACTTACTGAAATCTATCAAGAATTGACCATATCCTTTTCGTTGAAATACAGGCAGTGTTAATATACAGGATACATTGTAGTTCATGGATGATCGCTTTTCCTTTGAAAAATAACCCACGAAATGATACCCATGTTCATCTGCCTCTGTCATGATGTAAAATAGAAAAGGTTCAACGTCGTAGTAAAGTGTCTTGTGGTCCAAAAACATCTTCGCCATCAAACATAGATTTTGACAGTACATCTTGTTCTTCCTACCATCCACTTCAAATATTGATACTGCACCATCTCTATAGATCTCATCACCTGGTGGGTGTCTAGCTGTGCATTTCTTTTTATGTCGACCAGCAACAAAGCTACTTTTCATGTACTTCATACAGTATTCGCAAATGTAAAGAATGTAGCTCTGAGCATACTCTTCAGGATAAGGCGCTATATACCATGTGTCAATCATGTAACGACCGAATGAGATTGTTGTGATCTTGGGTATTTCCGTGTCACTATTTGCTGGTTTCACAGGCGATTTCTTTTGTAAAGAACGATCAATGAGTGATAAAATAACAAACAAGGATGCTTACCTTTTCTGCCTTTAGTTTTGCCTTTTCAAATTGTTCCCTATCTCTTTCTTTGGGTGTACCTCGTTCAATACTGGCCTCTTCTTCTGATAGTTTATAACCAAATGTTTTATAAAACATCTCCTCCTCTTTACTTAATCCAAACTTTTGTTTCCTTCCACGTTTTGATTGACGATCATCCTCATTCACAGTCAATCTTAATCTGAGCCTCTTTGCGGATGAAGATGATTTAGGTTCTATATTCTCATCCTGTTGTCTAGGTTGTTTCATTTCCAAATATTTCACAGTGGGTGTTGGACATTTTCTTAATCTGTATGTCCTGTTATCCTGTAACGAATCACACACTTGTTTGGCAGGGGATGAAGGTGGTGATGGCATACTTAGGCATTGATTACAGTACCAATCGTCTATTGAAATAATTAATATAAACAAATATGCAAATATGTATGTTACCTTTGGGTATATGTCTTAATGGTGGATTGCAGCAAAATGTATGATAACCTCTGTCACAACTGCTGCAAATAACAATTTTATCCTTTTTTTGTAATTGTAAGAAAAGGAAAAAAAAAAGAATAAAAATTTTTTTCTCTTTTTTTTTTTTTTAATTTTACCTCTACATTTTTTGATAAACAAACCAGGCAACTTTTACAGTCAACACATTGCCAGTTGTAAGTCTGAACAATCTCTGCTGTTATATCATTTAATTCAGTGCATAAAGCATGAACTATTTGTATATGTATAAGTTACAAAAGAAGGTAACATGATATCGTTTTTTCTTACCGACCGTTACGATGGCAATCATGGCATTTGAGCATCACTTGTCTTATGCCTTCTGCGTCAAAGTCAAACTCACCGTTACAACGGAAGCATATGCCTAGAGTGTACTATTTTACAAGTTATTTAATATTCATATTTCCTTTTTCTTTTTTTATTTACTTACGTCCACTTGTCGTCGTTGCCTTGTATTCATATTAAAAAAATTGATTAAAGTATAAAATAGAAATAATAAAAAAAAAAAAGAAGAAAAGAGAAAGAAAAAGGAAAGAGAGAAAAGAGAGGGAAAAT